TTTACCTTGTATCTATTGTAGGCCCATCTAGGGCAGCACATTACATATTCAATTTCTCTTGACTCTGTCAGTTTCTCAGACTTCTTTTTTTAACTCAGTTCTAATGAGTATTGGGTAGCTATATTGTACAATGCCCTCAACTAGAATTTGTTGTTTATCTAGACAGGTTGTGGGGCTTAGAGAGGAAGATCACAAAGGCAAAGTGCCATTTTATTTAAATTCTCTTAAGGTTTAGGTCTTATAGGTTTATAGTTTAGATCTAAAATCCCCCAAACTTTTCAAGTCTTTTGATTGGGTGATGGTTTTGTGGTATTGATTACATCATTAAATAAAAATAAATGTATAGGGGCCGGGGAGATAGCTCAGTAGAATAAGTGCTTGCCTGGCAAGCACAAGGGCCTGAGTTCAATCTCCGGTTCCACCAAAAAATAAAATAAAAATAAATTTTTTAAAAATGTATAAAATATGAGAGCTATGATGAAAGTAAGGCCAGTGATTAAACAATCTGGTATCCAGTTATGTGCTTCTGAAGTTAAAACAACAAAATTGTAGGTCTGTATACCCAGTGTCTGGAATATAGTTTAGATAGTGTAGCACAAATGGTCTGGTTTCAGGACCAATAGTCCATTCTCACTGTTAAGGCTTGTATTTGGATGTCTCCCCAAAGCCTGAAGTGGTTATAGGTGGGGCTTTTTCAGAGGTGGCTGGATTTAGAGTAGATGATGCTGGAATTGATCCATGGTGCAATGCTATGATTAAGGGCATGAGGAATAAGGATTACCCTAAGCACAGGTAGCTTGGATAAGATATAAGGAGCAAAAAATTATGGGTGTCCCTTGTTTTTGCTGTCTTCTATGTGCAGTAAACTATTTTTCCTCTGCAACTCTCCTTTGCCGTGTGCCACCATGTCTTGGAGCCAGCCAACTATAGACTGAAGCCACCATGAACTATAAGCCAAATAAACTTTTCCTCCTGTAACTTTGGGTGTTGGGTATTTTGTCTCAGCAACAAGAAAAGTAAGACAACAAATTTGGTGGGGGGAAAAAAAAGTGCCTTTTGATAGACCCAGAGCACAGGCCCTGCGAGTGAGTGAGACGACCCAGGCCGCGGGGTCCTGAACAGACCCACAGCGCAGGCAGGAGAGTGAGAGAGATGACCCAGGGCCGCAGGATCCTGAACAGACCCAGAGTGCAGGGCCCGGCGAGTGAGTGAGACGACCTGGGCTGCGGGATCCTGAACAGACCCAGAGCACAGGCCCGGCGAGTGAGTGAGACAACCCGGGCCGGGGAATCCTCACTGGACCCAGGCTGTAGGCCCAGCACAGAAC